TCCCTTTTTATTCCTCCTATCCTATTTCCCTCTCCTTAAAATCATAGTTCAACATCAGATTCTCAACACCTCAGAGGGCAGGCAGTGTAGTATATGCTGTCTGAAATTTTAGGATTTTTAAAGTTTACATTAACAGAATTATGTGAGATACTGTAACAAAACACCAAATATAACCAATTGTAAGAAAATGCATCATCAGGGAACAAAGCAAGGAGAGCTTAGCAGGCTTTTCTGCCTCATAATGCCGTTGTTGCTGTTCTTTGAGGAAGTGTGGTCTGTGTTTGAAAGGCTCTGTGGGGCCAGTAGTCCTATCTTTGTAACTAACCTGACCATACGATTGAGATAAATGTCACACATATTAACATCTTTTATGAGACCCTTTTAGGGCATGCTCTGACTATTCACAGTTGATGTCAGGGATTTAACACAGCTAGGATCTCAGGGACAGACAGGCCTTTGAGATGGTAAATGTCTTCTTGTGGATATTATTTCCCTCTTCCAAAATCTGAAACCATTTTGACAAAGCTGACATTTATGACTATGCTGAAGAAGATACTTCTAACTGAGTTACTCTGTCTCCTCTCCAACAGGAAAATGGTGGTTTCTTGACAATGGGCTACTAAACATTACCAGCGTGTCTTTTGAAGACAGAGGTAAATACACGTGTGTCGCATCTAATATGTATGGCAGTGTTAACAACACTGTGACGCTGAGGGTTGTTTTTACCTCCGGAGATATGGGAGTCTATTACATGATTGTCTGCCTTGTAGCTTTTACCATTGTTATGATACTGAACATTACTCGGTTATGCATGATGAGCAGTCATTTGAAGAAAACTGAGCAAGCAATCAATGAATTCTTCAGAACAGAAGGGGCAGAGAAGCTTCAGAAAGCCTTTGAGATTGCAAAGCGTATCCCAATTATCACATCAGCCAAAACGCTTGAGCTTGCCAAAGTAACCCAGTTCAAGACCATGGAATTTGCTCGTTATATTGAAGAGCTTGCTCGGAGCGTACCTTTGCCACCTCTCATCATGAACTGCAGGACTATAATGGAAGAAATTATGGAGGTTGTCGGTCTGGAGGAGCAAGGACAGAATTTTGTACGGCAGACAGCAGAAGGCCAGGAAACCACTGAAACAGATGAGCTATATATGATCCCAAATGCTTTGACGCGCAGTGACTCTCCCACAGCTGACTCGGACGCATCGTCACTGCATGAGCCACCTCAAAAGATTGCAATAAAAGTGTCAGTTCACCCGCTGTCCAAAAAGGACTGCATGGATGGCCAGTCACAGGAAAGCATGCAGCTGGACGTCAAGGAAGAAGACACTCCTCAAACACCAGCACTTCCCGCAGAGCCCCCTCCTGAGCCTTCTGCTGAATTCAGTTCTGATGACACAGCATTGGCAAATGACAAAAATACATGTGTTATATATGAAAGCCATGTATGATAGTTACTCCTGAATCTATGCATAGCAGGAAAATCAGGTGGAGCTCTTTTAAAAATACATATTGTACTTGCCGCTAAGCCTTACCTGGAGACTATCATAGCAGAAGCATGTAAGTGGATTATTTGGCACTTTCTTCTCAGTTTGACTTTAGTTTACCATGATGTATGGCAGAGTGATTGCTATTACATTAATATTAATTGCTCTTTTTGATTAGGAGTATTTCCAAGAAACATTTACCTCAGCATTTTCTAGGATGGAGACACCTGTAGTGGCCTCCTGGAAGTCACTGGTAGTCTTTGATGTAGGACACTTAAACTTACTAAACGTTAAGCTGGTTTCCATTTTCCTCCTTCACTCTCATTATTTCCATGTCTTGTATTTTTGCAAATATTAACTTGTGAATTTGAAATATTGCCCAAGAGGCAGCACTCCAGTAGCCAAATAAAATCCTAATAGATCCCATTTACAAAGCCTGTTTGCTCAGCTGCATCGTGATTTAGAGGGCTATTAAAGAAAGTTAAAATGTTTCCATTTCATTTGAGACCACACTGCTTAGGCACAATAGTTTCCCCTTTTCCATGGAATGAAGATGCTAACAATTGTTTGTTTCACATAGAGAAACAACTTCAAGGTGTATTTTACGGATGGGAAAGCCCATAAACATCTTATAGAAAGTCACAGTCTGACAGGTCTGCAGGGGTTTTGTGCATATATATGACCATTTTTTACCTTGCCAGAAGTTTATATGGCAAACAGCTGCAAATATGCAAGATAGCTTGTTTTGAAGGAATTTGGAGGGAGTTCATATGTAATACCTTAGCAGAAGATATGCAGGTTCCTTAATGGTCCTGCAAATGGCAGTAATCAGTTGATGATAAGGCTAAAATGGCTCTTTTATTGGGATTCTTAATTTTGTGGAGATTCATATTCTGATGATCAAGCCTAAATTCATGTGTAAGCATCAGTTTGAGAGTGTTGTATCCAAACTGAAAAAAAATTGTAATCAAGTGTCATGTGAAATTACAAAGACAGTCATGCAAACTGTTTACTGTGATGTAATTGCTTTGGTATTTTGAGAACCTCCTACCTATGTAGGATGTTCACTGCTTGAGTACATGTGATTCTGCCCCAGTAAAGCTTTAATGAACACAGCTATTATGGTGTTAAGTATCAACATTGATGCCAGGAGTGGAAGGGAATTGATAAGTTTTATTGCAGACAGACAATAAAAAGGACCTTTTCTACAGTGAGTCTGGAAAGAAAGTGCTTATAAGAAGGAGTTGTGTAGGATTAATAGCATATTACTTAATTACCTGACACATTTAATTTGGAACTAATGAACAAACTATCACCTTATAGTTTTTGAGAAAGATTGCAGTATAAGTATAGGTACTCAAAATAAATCTGAAATAAAGTATATTGCAGAATAAGAAGTCTCATAGGTCTACGGGGAGATGATGTGTGGGAGGCTCTCTGGACATTTAAGTGAAGTAACCACAACTACACAAGGTGTCTGTTGGAGGCAATCCACTATATTAGCTGCATGGGTAATTGAGACCAGACAAAGTCAACGTTGCAGCAGTCTAAAAGAATCCTTGATAATGAACTGAGGTTTTATGTCAACTTCCTCATGTTAAAGTGCAGAGCTTCACTAGCGGTTTAATACTGGAACACCCCATGACTTAATGTAGGTGATGCAGAGAAGACTCTATTATTTACCTTTCTATGGCTATTAAAAAAATATTACATGTTTAATAATGGACTTCAGACTTTACAACCAACTTGTGAAAAATGGCAGCATCTAGTTGCTAATGTCTGTGCTCACAGTGGCAGGCTTCTACACAAAATGCATTTGCACATGCCCAGAAGGAAACGTGCAAGGGCAAAGTCCCTTTAGGAATGTGGCTGGAAATATTTTAGTTCCAGCGAAGCAATATTAATCTAGAACACAAGGTAGATTAAGAGACTACCATAAAGAACCTCATTTCTGACCAGTGTGATTGAAAATACTATTGATGCAAACTGTTAACTTCTTGTCTAAGTCCAATGTACATCTCTGTTTAGTGTTCACATCAGTTTTTCAAGTTACTTAATTTACTTCTCGTATGAAAAAGAACAAGGGCAGAAACAAAAGCAGGAACTTGCACTAAATTCTTTTAATTCACTTTAACCTCCTGAAAAGAGGCATCTTGATTTTTCTGCCTGTCCAACATTTACAAACAATGCTCATGTATTCTAAAGTTACCTGTCTGGTGCCCAACTAAGATTGCACAGATAAGCAAGGATGTTCTCCTTGAAAGCATAAAAATAACTTTTAAATTACACTTCAAAAGAAAACAAACCACCTTATGTTTATTAAACTACAGTGTTTTAATTGTTTGGGGTTTTTTAACTATGAACTTTTCACAGTAGAGATTAGACCCCTTCATGTATCCTTATGGTGACAGGTACCAGGCAGCTCTGACCCTGACTGCTTCCCTCAGGCTGTTCTCCAGCCTGTTTACTATTTACTTATTGAGAAACGTTTGAGAGCAAACAACCCCCATGGTTTTCTTCAGTGTCTCTCTGTAAACTTCCTTGAAGGTACAGATGATTTTTTTCCCAAAGGTTGCCCACAAAGGGCATGTATTGAAGTACACACAAACGCACATTGTAAACCACATATGAGCAACAGGTACTTGGATTAAATGCATACAATATGTGTAGTGCTGGATTCCTACTGTTGCAAGGTCAAAGGGAACCCTGAATTTGCTGGAGCTGGACTCACTCAGAGCTGAGAGTTCACAGGTAGGACTGCTCCAGCCACTCTGCTATAAATTCTTTGGACATGTAGCTTTGTGTTATTATTGGAATAAAAGCTGAACAGCACCGTAGCTGAAGCAAATGCAGATTGTACCAATGGTTCTGGTTTATGTATTTTTTTGTGTGTTTTGATGTATGCTGCTCAGTGTCTTTATGCATCTATTATATGACACCTCTAAGCCTGAAGCTTTCTATGCGCTTTTAGGTACTTCCTTTGTGAGAGACAGGTGGAAAGCAAGACCCAAACCTGTCTCTCCTGTTCCAAACTTTCTGGCTATGCTATTGTAAAGTAAACAATTGTGTCTTGCAGTACTTCTTAGGGAATGGCTATTTTATGGTGCGAGAACACAATTAACAAATAGAAAATTAATGATGGCCTAAGAAAACATTAGCATTTGCATTGCTATGTATTTTCATGCACCTTAAGCACTTCAGGGACATTAGAGTAAGCTGTTCCCATCATTGGACTATGCACACCTTTTGTTACATTATTTATCACCAAACACTAATGGTTCTTGAAAACTCAGAATCTGGAAAATCCAGTCCAACTGAAATTGCATTCTAAAAGCATGGGGAACACCAAGCCAGGCTTAGAAAGAAAAAGAGATTTGCATGATTATTTTATACCATTGTCAGATATTTTTGCCAAAATTTCATGAAAGATGACTAGATTTCTGCAACATAAGAAATCAGTGTTGGATTTGAATTTTACACTTACTATTCTTTTTCCAGTAAATGTAAGACCATATTAATCAGACCACTTAAACATAGTACTCACTATCTACTTGCTCAGCATTTTCTTTTTGAGCAGCATTTGTTTACTGCTGATCCTTTTTTGTTCTCTGATTTGAGCATGTTTGTGATAACGTACCCCTCAGTCATTTTTTGCATCTGTCATTTAAAAAATTTACAAGAACCCATGGATCAGCATTTTTATGCAGGTTTATTGGTATTCGGTAAGGCACAGAAGTTTGCCCCGTGCTTAAAAATCGCTGTATAATCACAAGACTTGCAGAATGGCATATATGGGCAGATGTTGATTTTTTTTAAAATCAGTGCCTATTTTAGTCTAATGTACATATGGTGTCAGCTCCTTGATTTGCAGTTACCTTTTGACAAAAGTACTGTAACGTATAACCAGGGCTTTCTGGCGTTCAGTTTGGTCAGATTGACTAATTCTGGAAAGTATTAACAGTGTGGAATTTTAAAAGTTCTCATGGAATATCTTGGCAGCATGCTATTTTAAGAGTTGGCCTCTTAAGTATGCCATACTTAGTGGGACAACTGAAAGCTTCTTAGATGCAAAGGAAATGCTTGCACTAAAGTAACTTAAGTTATATTTCATTTATTATGAAATCCTTTTTGATTTTACAAGAAATGTAAGACAAATATGAATGTGTTCTTTTGAGAAGCAGTTACTGTATTTTAATTTAATAACTGTTATGATTTTATAGCTCACAGCCGTAAACCACAGAGACCAGTTCATGCTGAAGTGGCAAAATGAAATGTGATGTAGCTTGTACATTGATCATTGTTTCAATAAAGAATTTGCACAGACTATGCTGAGCTTGTATGCATTCAACAAGACAATATTTCCTAGTAAGGGTATGCCATGGCTCCAGTTCAAATGGAAGAAAACTATGTCTTCCATGGTACATCTGCTAATAGCCCAGAAACTTTGATCATTTATTCACCTACAAAGGAAGTTTTAATAATGCTCTGCAAGGGAGCTGTGTTCATTTTCACAACATAGACCCCGTTGTTAATTGGTGTCGTTATCAATAGCCTAGATTGCTCATGTATGTAGCATCTTCTCTTTGGAAGCGTGTCAGCATTTCCACATGTAATGCAAAGGACTCTTCTGTCTGCTTTTTCCTCTCTAAGCCATGTCATGGGGCCTTGCAAAAAGTCTTGCTGCTGTTCTTAGAATTGGGGCCAATGAAATAAATGTCTCTTCTCCCAGAGGTACCCTAGTGCCAAGACAAAAGAGAAGTGTGGGTTGCCATACCTGCCCTCATTCCTTCACCCACCCTAAAAGGATGAGGTGCAATAACTTTCCTGTCCCACAGCAGTTGGGC